GTTTGGGACTGAGGATGCTCTGAGGACATTTGGGACCAGGGATGCTCTGGGGATATTTGGGACTGGGAATACTCTGGAGACATTCAGGACCATGGTTGCTCTGGGGACGTTTGGGATTAGGAATACTCTGGGGACATTTGGGGGACTTGGGATGCTCTGGGAACACTCAGGACCAGGGATGTTTTGGGACAGGGATGCTCTGAAGGTCCTGATGGCCAGGAATGCTCTGGGAGTGCTTGGTCTTGGGGCTGGGGGATCTCTGAGCACTCAGATTCGGGAGGTTCTGCACCCTGGGGAGAAACCATCACCCTGAGGGCAAACACCCTCAGGATTCCCTCAGTGAGAATCCTGTTTGTGATGTGCTCTGTCACCCTCTCCCCACCCACAGATTCCCAGAGGAAAGCGGGACAACCTCCCCCCACACATCTGCTCGCTGGCACACAGAGCCTACAGGAACCTGCTGCTGCAGAGGCAGGACCAGGCCATCGTGCCCCTGGGGCACAGCGGGGCTGGCAGGACCCACTGCTGCCAGAGAGCCCTGGAGTACCTGGTGGGCACGGCGGGCAGCCTGGATGGCAGGGTCACAGGTAAGGGCAGGGGCTCAGGTAAGGGCAGGGTCACAGGTAAGGGCAGGAGCTCAGGGATGGGCAGGTGTCAGGATCTCTGGCTTGTCAGAGTGACCCCAAGAAAAGTTCCAAAGTCTCTTTTCCCAGCCTGGTGCTTGAAGAAGGAGCCAAGGCTCTTCATTTCTTGGTCTCAAGGTTGTTTATTTTGTCTTATCTATAAAATTCTTTCTCCTGCCCTGCCGGGGTCCATCCAGCAGGACAGTTCCAGGCACTCTGCCTGTCCCCAGGGTGGTGTTATGTCTTTATCTAAAAACTCCATTATTTACAATTACTTTCCAATACCTATCACCCATGTTAGACAGTGAGTTTCTACTCTAAACCAATCTAAAAGTGCCAACATCACAACAGAAGATGCAGGCCAAGAAGAAGAAGGAGAAAGGCTGGACACACCAGTTCCCTCCATCTTGCCTCCTAAACCCCCATACCAAAAACTCCAAAATCTACTTTTTCCACCCCATGATAACTTCACTATTATTCCATCTAAACTGTTGTGGCTTGCTGAGCGTCATCTAAGGTTGGTAATTTGCTCCAGGGATCATAATCAAACCCACAGGTGTTTTGGGCTCTGTGCCAGGGTGTCTGAGCCCTCTGGCAGGGTCTTGGCCATCCTGGACAGCCAGAGGGATGTTCTGTGTTCCCACATGCAGGGTGCCAGGTATGGGCAGGAATGACACTGGGTGCTCATCAAAAGCCTGTGTAGGCTGTGGACACACAGCCACATAAAAACCTGGATTTGTGTCCCCTGGAGTGGCTCCTAAGCACCAGTTGTGGCCTCGAGTGCCCCTGTCCCCGCGTCAGCCTCAGCAGATTTGTGAGCAGCGGGAGGGAATCACTGGAGCTGCGCTCGGGGCAGCGATTTCACATTTCACACCTGCTCGGGTTACAGGTGACGCTGCTGCTCGGCAGGCAGCGCCTTCAGAGGGCAGGGTTGGATTTCTCAACTCTCCCGGGTACACCGTGCTCTTGCAAAGGGCTGAGGGATGGCCTGGAACACGCTGGGCAGGCTGGCACATCCCATTCCTGCCGGTGGACACCCATTGTGGGATGCTGACCCCATGTCCAGGCAGTTCCCCAGGGCTGGGATGGAGCAGCAGAAGTGAGACAGGAGGAGACCCCTCCTCCAGAGCTGCAGGGTGGCTCAGGGGGCTCTGCTGGTGCTTTTGCAGTGGAGAAGATCCAGGCCATGTTCACAGTGCTGGGAGCCTTTGGCTCGGTGAGCACCGGGCACAGCAGCAGCTCCACGCGCTTCTCCATGGTCCTGTCGCTGGATTTCAGTGCCACTGGCCAGGTCACTGCTGCTCACCTCCAGGTACCTGTCACACTGCCCCCATGGGAGGGCTCTGGCTGAAAATGGGGGTCCTTGGGGTGGGCATGAGCCTCCCCTGAGCTGCAAGGCTGGGCACGAGGGGTGATGCTCTGCTCCCTGCTCCTCCTAACCAGAGGTGCCCAAATGGCCCCAAATGAGCGGAATCTCTCTCAGCAGCGTGGCAGGGTCCCCCAGCCTGTCCCTGTCCCTGGCAGAGAGCTGGGGACAGTGCTGGGATGAAATGTTGATGAGCAAATGTATAATTCAGTGTTTCATTAGCAGCACCTCACGGCCGCCCGGAGCTGAGCCTCAGAGGGCTTTTATCATGTCAGGGTTCTTATCAAAGGCTCTTTAATCAGAGCTGCCCGTGCCCCTGGGCCTTGTCTGAGGGAGGAGAGTGTCCTGGGGAGCACCAGGGCTTCTCACTGCTCTGCCCTGGGCACCCATGGGGAGCTGGTGGCCTGGTGGAGCTGTCCTTGTGCAGGAATGTCCCCATCAGAACCACCAGAACCACCCTAACAGGTTCATGGGACAGTCTGGGGTGGGGACCCCCAGCTCTACAGACTCATTGCTGCCTCCAGGCTGGCACTGAACCCTTTGGCAAGGCTGGAGCCCAGACAGTGACTTATTTCAGTCCTGCAGCCTCTTTGCTGGGGCCATGGCACTGCCCAGACCTCTGGGAGCTCAGAGAGGGACCGTGGGTGTTGCTTTCATGCACTGAAGTTGCTCCTTGATGCCTGGATCATGATGCAGCTCTTGCTTGCACAGCCCTGGGTGGGAGGAGCAGCTCCCAAACACAGCTGAGTCCCTGCAAGGAGAAATCCAGCCCCTCTTGGCAGCTGCCAGGAGCATCTCCCTGTGTCCCTGTTCCTTTTCCATCTCTCTGTCCCCTTTTCCATCTCCCTGTCCCCTTCTCATCTCCCTGTCCCCCTTTCCATCTCCCTGTCCCCCTTTCCATCTCTCTGTCCCCCTTTCCATCTCCGTCTCCCTTTCCATCTCCCTATCCCCTTTTCCATCTCCCTGCCCCTTTGCCCATCTTCCTGTCCCTTTTCCCATCTCTCTGTCCCTTTTCCATCTCCCTGTCTCCCTTTCCATCTTCCTATCCCCTTTTCCATTTCCCTGTCTCCCTTTCCATCTCTCTGTCCCCTTTTCCATCTCCCTGTCCCCTTTTCCCTCCCCAGACCTTGCTGCTGGAGAGGGCCCGTGTTGCCCAGCAGCCTGAAGGAGAGAGCAGCTTCAACATCTTCCCACTGCTGCTGGCAGGGCTGGATGTGGCAGAGAGGTGGGTGAGACAGCCCTGCGCTGCCCAGGGATATTCCTCATCCTTTATACTCAAATTCCCTCCATCAGTGGGGTTTTGAGACCCACCTGATAAGGGATTGTGAGAACAATGGGGTCTTTCTGCATTCAGAGAGATTTTCTATGAAAAGAGGTCATTTCCTGGTGTACCTCCACTAGTGCTGAAATTGGGGTGATGAATGACACAGAGATCCCTTTCCCTCTCACTTCTGGCTCCCACCAGGCTGTGTCCACAGGAGAAGGCTCCAGCTGATGTCCCTGTGTGGGGCAGTGCTGTGGTGGCCTGTCCTATCCAGGTCCCTCAGATGTTAGCTGGGGGAGCTGAGGGCAGCCAAGGAAGGAGTTTAACTCTCTTTTTTTTTGTTTTTGTTTTTTTTGGACTACTCCCAGGACGATGCTGCACCTGCACCAGGTGGCTGAGAGCAATTCCTTTGGGATCAAACCCTTCACAAAGGTAGGGAGAGGGAAATGTTTGTGCCCACCTGGGGTGGGATGGAGCAGGGCACCCATTTTGTCACCACCAGCTGGAGGATGACACGGATTCCCTGGTTCCTGGGTGTCTCATGATGATGCCACTGTACTGGGAGCCTGGAGGGGAGGGAGGGGATGTTGGGATGTGAGAAGGGTCTGCCCAAGCAGCCCCCCCATCACCCCTCTGCTGGGACTGGGATGCCACAGCCACCCTGGGACCAGGTCCTGCTGCTCCAGGGTCACCCACCCCTGATGTTCCCTTGCAGCAAAAGGGGCAAGAGCATCCTTTGGGCAGCCCAGAATGCGAATTTCAAGGGTTAAAGCTCCAGAGCTGCCTCCCACCTCCAGCCCCTCATTAGTCTGAGCTGTCTGCAGAGCCCCAGCAGATTGTCCACAAGCCGAAAGTGCTGGGATGAATCGCAGCAATTTGCAGTTACATCATCTACTGATGAATCCAATATTCCATCTTCATTAGGGAGCTCCTGCTCCACTTTGGCAGCCAGAGGAGCTGACTGCTGGAGCTGCAGCTCCGGGGAGGGCACAGCAAGATCCTCACCCTGCTGATGCAGCAGATTTGGGCTCAGAGATGGGGTTTTACCCTCCTTTCACAGGCACCAAGGAACCTGCCTGTGGGGGTGTTTGAGGGTCCCCAGGATGAGGGAAGAGATGAAAATCTTGACTCCATGTTTCAGAAGGCTGATATTATATTAACCATATCATATCATCATATCATACCATATAATATCATTTATTATATATTATATCAATTTATTATATATATTATATTAGATATAATTATAGATGTGATAATAAAATAATAATATAGAACTATAAACAACTTATTATATATTATATTAATTTACTATATATTATATTATATTATATTATATTATATTATATTATATTATATTATATTATATTATATATATCGTAAAGATACACTAAAACTATACTATACTAAAACTAACTATACTAACGAAAGAGAAAGGAGACATCAAAAGGCTGGCAAAGAAAAGGAACAAATAATAAAATCTTGTGACTGATCAAAGTCCCGACACACCTGGCTGAGATTGGTCACCAAGCAGAAACAATTCACATGCTGGGTAAACAATTCTCCAAATCACATTCCAAAGCAGCAAAACACTGAGCAGCTGAAGCTTCCCAGCTTCTCAGGAGAAAAGATCCTGGCAAAGGGATTTTTCAGGAAATGTGTCTGTCACACCTGCTCCAAATTTTCTGTGGTTCCCTTTGCTGTCCTGTTGGTTTCCCTCTCCCTCCTGTTGGGCACAGTGCCCAGCAGAGGCAGTGACACCCTGTCTCTGTCCCCTGCAGCCTGAGGACAAGCAGAGAGCCCTGGTGGCCTTCTCCCAGCTCCGGGCTGCCATGGGCACACTGGGCATCACCGCGGAGGAGCAGGGGGCTGTGTGGCGTGTCCTGGCTGGAATCTACCACCTGGGAGCTGCTGGAGCCTGCAAAGGTGAGGGAAATCCTGCCTCTGCTTCCCTCACACCGTGTGTCTGTGCCCGAGAGGGGAGGGAGCGCGTCCTGGCAGGGATCAGTGCTTGGGGTGATGTTCATCCCAAGGCTGCTCTGTTTTTTGGTGGCTCCAAGTTCTTCCTTGCTCTTCCTGCATGGCGGGAGGTGGGATGTCCTGCTGCTGTCCTCCCTGCTTCTGGAGCAGCTCTGTCCTAGCCACGTGAGGACAGGGAAGGGGCTTCTGGGTGTTGTGTTTTGGGGGTCCCCAGATGAAGGGGGGAAATGACGAATTTGACTCCATGTTCATAGAAGCCTAATTTGTTATTTTATGTTATTATATTGTATAAAAAAATTCTATACTAAAACTATACTAAAGAATAGAGAAAGGATACAGATAGAAGGCTAAAAGATAATGAATCTCGTGACTCTCTCTCCAGAGTCTCACACAGCCTGACCATGACTGATCATTAAGTTAAAACAGTTCTCATGTTGGATAAACAATCTCCAACCACATTCCAAAGCAGCAAAACACAGGAGAAGCAAATGAGATGATATTGTTTTCCTTTTTCCACATTCCAAAGCAGCAAAACACAGGAGAAGCAAATGAGATTATATTGTTTTCCTTTTTTTTCTGAGGTTTCTCATCTTTCCAGGAGAATAATCCTGGGCAAAGGGGATTTTTCAGAAAATGTGATGGTGACAGGATGTTATACTCCTTGGGAAGGACTGGGATGGGTGACTCCTTTGTTGGCACGTTGTCCCCAATGACACCATGAAGGGACAGCTCCAGGTAGCACTAATTTCACTAATTTAATCATCTCTTGAGTGTCTACCACAGTAACTGAATTATAATAGGCTGTGTCTGGATGAAGATTGTATTTATAGAGACTTTGCTAATATGGATGAGCAGAAATTGCCTTATCCCTTACAAATGATTTTAGGACGTGCTCTAACCCATTTCAGAGGCAGCCACATTGATTTACACCCTTCAATTTATGAGGACTGAATAAAGGCTGCCATGAACTAAGGCACAGACATTTATAAATGTCTCTGCAACATGTCATAACACATCTTATGGTAATTTATGCCATTAATCATTTATTAATTATTTTAAAAGGATAGATGCTGTCATGACTTACAGTGAGTTCTCTCTTCTCCTTCTTTCTGGTGTTCTCTTTCCTCATCTCCATCTACCTTAATGCCCTTCCAGCTTTTATAGATGACCCTATGTGTCATGAGTGTCAGAAGGCTTTTGGCCAAAAGTTTTTGGAAGTCTTTCAGCCCTGTGAGTTTTCAGGAGAGCAGATTTTGGAGATGTGTCTCATTTTGGGAATGTCCAGCTCAGTGGCAGGTGGAGGGGTGGTCACAAGGAGCTTTGCTTTGCTCAGACTTCCTGCACATTCTGTCCTCAGTAAATCAGCCTGGGAGGGAATTCTGTGCACGACAAATGCTGCTCCATTCTCTGAGCAGCAATGGGAGTAGCAGACCCAGGCAGGGCTCTGAGCACTCTCTGGTGTGGGATTAACAAGCAGATCATGTCTCAGTGTCGCTCACTCTGGTATCGATTCCCCCGCCGCGTGTCAACAAAAGGGGAGAAATGAAAGGAAATATGGATAAAAAATGGATCAAAGCCGGGTGGAGCAAGAGTCTCAGTGGGGGCGATGACTCTTTTAATGTGGTTAAACCTGTCTCCCGATAGCCATCTCTTCCCTTCCCCTTTCATGCCCTTTGATGTTGTGTATTCCAAATCCTCTCCTTGAAATCTCACCGAAGGGAGGCTCAGCACTGCTTTTCCAGGGCATTCAGGAGCTCAGCCAGGCACCTCCTCCACCCCATCCCTGGCACGTGTTAAACGGGCCCCAGTGTGGGTTAAAGGCACCTTTTTCCCTTCTCTCCTCACCCATTCTGTTTGTGCAGGAATAAACCAGGAGGGAACAGCACCACCTCTCCCTGGCTGGGGGTGGAAAATGCATTTGCAGCTACAAAAAAAGGCTGAGAAGAAAAGGCTGAATTTCAAAAGCTCCTTCTGCTCCATCCCAGCTGCCTTTGAAACGTATTCGAGCAGCTCTTTTATTAGCAGAGCAGCCTGGCAGCTGGAGGCCAGCAGGGCACCCCGGGCACCATTCACCTGAGTGCTCCAGTCCCTTTGTGGGCTGCAGAAAATCCCCTGGTTTAATTTATTTGCTGTCCCTGTAAGCTGAAGGGAGGTTTGGGGCGCAGCAGGGGCGGCATTCAGCTCGCTCTCTCGCTGTCCTTTTGCTGCCTGACATCAGAATATCACAATATCAGGATATCAGAATAAAGCTTTGTGGCTCCCAGCTCCCTGTGGGCTCCACCTGTAATGGTGGTGACTGCCATTCCAGCCCTGCTGGTGCCACAGCTGTGTCAGGACTCATTCCAAAACCCCTGGCTGCTGCAAATCCACCCTCCAGAACTCCTCTGGATGGAGGAAAACCACAGGGCAGGAGGGCTGGAACCTGCTGCTCAGGTGGGGGACACTGAGCTGCCCCAAACCCTGCAGAAGTCAGGGGCAGCAGGAGGGACAGGAGCACTGAGACAGCCGGGGGGGAATTTTGGGGTCAGTGAGATCACCAGCAACAGCCCAGGGTGAGTGCTTGAGCTGCTGTGGCCCTGCACAGACCCACCCCTGTGGCATCATGCCCTGGGAACCCAGGAAATTGGGCATTGAGCAGTTTGGAAATGGGCTGGGGCTGCAGCAGGAGAGGCTGAGCTGCCCCTGTGTGTGCTGACCCTGTGTTTTCCTTCTGATTCTCTCAATTATTACTGGGCCAAAGTAATTCCCTCCAGGTGTTAAAGTCAGCGAGTTTTCCATGGTCACATCACACTCAGGAGAGCCGTGTGGAGCTGCTGGTTATAGCTCATGGAAGCTAAAATGGTGCCTGGGGGTGCCAGGGATGAGTGGACCCTCTTGTTTATCCCAGGGATGCTGGAATGGGCAGTTTGGGATGCTGGAATGGGCACTGTGGGAGACTGTGGGACGCTGGAATGGGTATTTTGGGATGCTGGAGCACTGTGGGGTGCTGGAATGGTCAGTGTGGGATCCCAGCCAGGTCTGTGCAGCTCCCCCAGCCCTTCCAACTCCCCATCACGCAGAGCTTTTGTGTCTGACAGGAATCAGTGTACGTCCAGCCAGTTCAGACAAGAACAAGTGGAAACAGAATAAATCAAAGCCTGGAGTGCTGAGGCAATTCCCCTGCCTGCTCCAGCACAGCCCTTGATGTTGGAGTTCTTCAGACAGCAATGAAGTACTGGGGAACGATCAAAGGGGCAGGGAGAAGGGGGCTGATTCATGAAGTACCCCCAGCCCTCCAGCCCTGCTTTGTGCATCCCCTCAGCCAGGAGAGGGTTCCCATGGAGCTTCCCAGGGTGTGGGCACCTCTCACTCTCCATCCCACACCCTCTCCCTGCCACCAGCCTCCAGCTGTGTTTTAAGGGCTAATTTTAGCCGTGAGCCCCCGAGCTCCTCATCCAACACCCAAAAGTGCCACCCTGAGGTCTCTGGGTGATTTTGGCTGCTCCCATTTTTGCTCATCCCTCTGTGTTTCTGAGCTGTGCTGCCTGGCTTCCCCCACAGCACCTTTCTGCTCTGGATTTGTAAAAGGATTAACCCTGCAGATGACTCCCCTATTGATTTAAATCATTAAGCTGGGATCGTTATCACCGGCTTCGAGCCGTGTCTGCTCGAGGGGAGGAACTGCTGCTCCCGCCTGCAGGGACAGCAAACACTGCTGGGACCCTGAAAGGTGATCCCGGATTTCCAGGGATTGCTTCCTAATCCCATCAGCTCCCACCAGCACATCTGCTGCTCTGCCCTGCTGAAACTCTGATGTCCTGTGGTTCGCCTGGTCCCCTTTGGACCGTTTTGATTTTGGGGGTGCACGAGGGGGCGTTCTGGTGATGCTGAGTCCCCCGTGCCCCTCCTCAGTGGGCAGGAAGCAGTTCCTGAGGTTCGAGAGCGCCAGCCGAGCTGCCGAGGTGCTGGGCTGCGACGTGGAGGAGCTGGGCAGCGCTGTCTTCAAGCATCACCTGAGGCACATCCTGGCGCAGGTGACAGCACGGGGCAGCCCCCAGGCAGAGGAGAGCCCGCCAGGTACCGCCATCCCCATCGCTTTCATTTGTGGAATTAGGAGTTTACAATTT